CTCAAAAGGGATTAAATCCCATTCTTCCAGAATTGTAATGTATTTTGAAAGAAAAACATCTTTTGGAAAAAAAACTTGAAAAATCGAATCTCAATGAGGAATTGAGTTCTGCGCCCTTTTTTGGAGCTAAGATGATATAAAAAACCTGAAGATAATTCATGGTAAGAGATAATAAGACTTTAATTATAAGTCCTTTGTAACTGTTGCTTTTTTATGTCGATTTTTTGCTTCAAATAATTTATAAAAGAAATTATGGATTTATATTTTGATATAGGGCCCTATATTAATTTTGTTTATTAAATAAATGAATAAATAGTTATGATATTAACGAAACGTATGCTTTGAAATATTTGCCAAAAAGACCACAAGGTGTAGAATGAACAAATACCTTGCCATCGGTACTAATCTGAGATACTTTCATTTTCATTTCTTCATCGTCACATTTCCTTGCACCAGCAGAGCAGGAGAAATACGGAGCCTCGGTATCATAACGGATGTTAATCTGGCGCTGAACCGTTTTACCCTGAAACTCGACTCTGGTTCCAGACACAATTTTGTAACCTCCATTTTTAACTTCCAGGGTTATTTTCAAACTGAAAATAGAAGAGCGATAATTTTTTTTTTGCTTTAAGGGACTATTTTTTAACCAAAACAAATAGCGCTGAGCGTTAAATGGCACAGTCATGACCGTTTTTTTTAACATAGTGTACATATACCATTATAAACATTTTGTTCAAAACACATTTTTCAATTAAAGGTCAACGATATTGCACATCAAAACGTGTAATAGCATTAAAATAACGAAGACGGGACCAAAATCCGTTTCATGAAGTTTTTCGCGCCAATATTAGGCCTACTCGCCCCGTTTTGCAAATGAGCGGCGTTTGCAAGACCTCCAGAAAATTGGGAAGCTTTCGATAATAAAATGAACCCTTTCATTACACAATAAATCATAATTGCAGTGCACTTGAATTACCGTATTTGATATATGGAATAAGAAGACTCACTTGCTGTTGTGCATTCTGGGGCTGGCCAGAGTGTGTGTTTTATTACAGGTTGAGCTTGAATTAACTGGACAGGAAAAACTTGCCTCCTTCTGCACAGTTCCTTCTGAAATGACGTAAGGGTAAAACGTTGTGCAGGTATGAGATATATAGTTGATTGACAAATACAATGCAACACAACACTTAATTGCGGTATATGATGTTATCGCTCATATAAAGGCAATGTCTCGCTTGTGACATAAAACTCACTTTCAATCCTAACACAGATCTTACGTCACTCATTACGTCACTTGCCTGTCATATTCGTCAACATACCGTGCACAAATATTGAAGCTAAAATTTGCGATACAAATCGAACTAACCGCTGGAAACCACCTCTATGTCAGCTTTATTCAAAACCAGCCCTACGTTGAAGTCAGACACAGACGACGGCCTTGATGGTAAATCTCCCATCATTTCGTACTCAGCTTGCCACGACAGCATTAGGTCTGTCAAGTTGATTTTATTGGTGTATACATTGACAAGGTTCGAAGTCTCCGTAGAGTTGCTATAGTTAAAGGGTCGCTTGTTTATTCCACTCAGTGAAATCCGCACTGTCTTAATTTGGGGCTCCTGGATTTTTCCACTGACTGAATTGAAAATTAAATAAATGTATAGATAAAGAGAGAGAAATTAAGTTCGTCATTTTGTTTTTTAGTCCCTCATATAAAACTACAACAGGAGATCGAAACCCCCTTGACAAAGAATCGATACGTCACTACGTGATATCTCCTAGGTAGAAACCACGCTTTAAATGATCTACATTTAATATCTAAATATCTAAATTAAATTGATAGATAGGTGAAATATTATCAAACTGAAAAACAGAAACAATTCCTAAAATTACGTACTTGTATTACAATTCTCGCCACTAAATCCTGCAGTGCACACACACCGACCAGTGTCAGGGACACAGAATCCCGGGAAGCAATCTTTTCCGACGCACAAATCTTGACATTTATGAAAGAAAACAAAGAATTTGGTATTTCTTCTAATAAGATAGTTATGTTTGTTATATGTCAAATACATATTCCGATATCTTTTTATTTTTTAATTATCATTTATTTATTTATTTATTGTTGGAAAATCACCTTTCTTTCGTGCATTTTATCAGGAGAGAAAAAAAAACAAAAAAAAACAGTAAACACAGCACAACGAATAAAAAATAATTAAAACAGATATGATTTTGTTTGTAATACTTACTTGGGCTCACAGTGGGGAGGTGGTCTCCAACATTTATCTCTGAAAAGGAGAACATGCTTACGTTAATGTCTATGTAATAGGAATATAGACCCTGCGATTGTTTCAGAAACACATCCAAACACAATTTAACAATGTTTTCCTAAGACAGCATTTTCAAACCTGAAACATTCTATCATCTACCCGTTTAACACAATGCAAACTGCTCGAAAATTTCTGACAGGATCTGAAACTCAGGATACCTTTGGTTTACAAAGGCATGTTCACAACTGGACCAATTTAGATGAAATATTGACTAAAGTACGTCAATGAGAAAAATTGTGTCAAAGCGTCACAAGATTGGAATTTCAAACCATGTCTTAGTGGAGTCACTTAATCTACATCGAGTCTAAGTCTAGGTTAAGTCTAAGATGTGAAATATTATCAAAGTAAAAAACACAGTTCATAAAATTACAACAAATTCTGCTTTTTGAGAGAGCGCCTACCTTTGATTACAATCGCCTCGTTCCAAGCCCTATCTGAAACTTTCAGGACCACGGACCATAATCCGCTATTCACATACTGTTTTATCCATGGATCCCCATGTTTCCATTGTCCAGACACCACGGCAGAACCACCTTGAGCATTGCCACGATATATTGTGTAGTTGTAATTGGCAATTCCGGATAGGTCGTCCACCCAGTTTGCCCACTGGAGCTCTAACTGAACCTAAAAATTAGAGCTATGTTCTAGAGATAGTAGTAGTAGTGGGTCCAGTTTGCAGACTCATTCGCGCACCTTTCTGAGTACTAATAGTCCATGAGCCAAAGG